ACATTCAACCATTTGACTTCTGTATACACTTTTAGGAATAAATTATGCATGAAAGTAGGATGTTGCCTGAGCCTCTCTTATTGAGTTTCTCACCATCTTGCCTGTATTCAATGCATTTGTACTATGTTCTATCTCCTCTTCTACCAGGCTGTATCATATGAAATTGCCATTTTGCCTTACAAAAAACCCCAGCAATTTCATATGTTTCACTCAAAGAAATTGAAAGCTTTTGGGTTTGGGGCTCATTTTAGTCATCTTTGCATCTCTCACAATACCTTATATATGAGAGAATATCAATAAGAAATTGCTCTTACAGATCTTCTACTTGAAACACTTCTAGTTCCATCAGACACCACTTTTCCACCTTACCTTCTATCCCTTGCCTTAAAAAACAAAACTATTCTCTCTCTCTCTCTACAGGTAGCTTTTGCTTCTCCTCATAGTAACTTTTACTACCAATGCGTAACTTTTATTCTCGAAGCCTGGGGTCCTGGATTTAGCTCTTTGTTCTCTTCTTTCTCTTCCCTGAATTCATATACTTTCATCTCTTCCACAATCACTTTTACCCTGAAGATTCTGCTAGCTATCCCCAGTCATAACCTCTTACCTCAGCAGTATGCCACCTCCACCTGCATACCTGATGGCCTCATACTGCTCGAAACCCAAAATGTTCAAAGTAGGATCACCATTCAAAACAGATCTTCCCTCAACACCCCCACTTCTATCATGGATGCCACAATTCTTCTAGGTCACCAGGGTAGAGACACTGGGTCACCCCTGACCATTATGGTTCTATGCTTTATCCAGTCAGTTATCCAGTCCTATTTAGTTTCTTGAATACCTTCTCAATATATTCCTACTTCCTTTCCACTCCCTCCATTTTTTTTCTCTTACTTTTTGTGTAGATTACCCTGAAACCTTCATCCTGGCCTTCTCTTTTCCTCATGTCTCTCTCCCCACCTAAGAACCCAGAGAACCCACTAAAATGCTGCCACACCCAATCTGAACTTCTCTGCTTACTATCAAAGAGCTATCACTTGGGGTCTACTCTACTTATTTAACTTATTTTCTACTGCTCTTGAAAATATCTGTGTTCTCATATCTCTACTAAAGTTCTTTTCATATTATACTACTTACGTAGCTCTTTTCCCTGTTAACCAGAGATTTTTTTTTTTTTTTTTTGAGACACAGGGTCTCACTCTGTCACCCAGGCTGGAGTGCAGTGGTGCAATCATAGCTCACTGTAGCCTCCAATTCCTGGGGTGAAGCAATCTTCCCACCTCCCGAGAAGTGCATCACTATGCTGAGCTAATTTTTTATTTTTTGTAGAGATGGGGTCTTGCTATGTTGCCCAGGCTGGCCTCCAACTCCTGGCCTCAGGAGATCCTCCCACCTTACCCTCTAAAGTGCTGGGGTTACAGACATAAGTCACCATGCTCTACTTAACCAGGAACTCCTAAGCTTATGTTAGTTCCTATAGGAATCAACAGAGAGCACAGTACTCGTAGGTATTTAAAAGAAATTTGTTAAATAAGTAGATTGATTGTTACTCAGGATACGATCAGGCAGGAAGCTATCGGAGTAAACCAGCTATGAAGTGTAACAGTCACCCTCTTCCAGGTTCTTGTACCACCTTGTATTAAATACTTTCCTCCCACAACATTTACCCCAACTTTAAATTATATATCTAATTGTGTGATTTGTTAAATGCCCATTTCTTCATCTAAGTGCTATATGGAAGAGGCAGTTTGTTCCCTGCTACACTCCAAGGCACAAATGAGTTCAAGGAATGTGCAATGGAAATCAGTTAGATGAATGTGTTATGAACCTTCCCTTTAATAAAGCTGGATCCCACACTAGCCCCTACACCCCCTTATCACCAAATATTCCTGCTTCCTCTTACCTGCACCTGCTGTTCTCTCCTCTGCCACACAAATCTACCTCTCAAGCCTAGGTCCCACCTGCTTCATGATAACTTTCCTGACTATTCCAGAACCTTTATCCATCTCTGACCTCTCATCAGATCTATGTTGTATGTAACACCAATGATGTCTTAATGAGATCATTACTGCTTTATATGGTCTAATTGCTTCTTGTATTCAAAATCTTATCTCCAATCACATAATAACTCTCTCGACCTCTCTTGTATTTTCCAATGCCTTGTATAAGCACAGAACTGGTCAATCAATAAATACTCGCTGGTTATTTGAGAAAAAATGATGCCAAGTACCATCTTTAACAGAAAATCAATTATTCTAGACTTGGAGAAATCACCCTATTCCTAGTATGTGATCTTAATCAGAGCAATTCAGATGGCTTGGAGATTAACACATCTGAACTTTAATTTGTAACAAATAAGTCCATAAGCTGAGAATATGATATAGTACTAAAAATCAAATGCTATTTTAAATTTAGGATGAGATTACCAACAGAATAAATCCAACTTTGAATCACTTTCTAAAGCAAATGATTCCTCCCCTAAGTCTTCATTTATCACATACTAAAATAACATTTTATTATCAGATGATTCTCTTATCATAAAGAGAATGAGACTTGGGAAAGATAAACTCTGAGGAAAAAAAAACATCTGGAGGAAATTCTTATTCTGGCTTATTTTCAGATGTCATGTTCTCCTCAACCTTAACCCCATTTTCATTGCACAGAGCTGGCTTTTAAAGGATAATTTGTGTCTTGTATTATTAAGGCAATAAATAAAAATAGAAAATGGGGAAAATAAGATACACTTGGCACTAATTCTTAAATTCATTCATTCATTTATTTATTCCACAATATTTAGTGAGCATCTACTATACACCACATATTATACTAGGCCCTGTGGGACTCTAGAAGATCAAACAAACTTATACAGTCCGCTAAGGGAAGATAACAGAAGGCAGATAGTGCTGAATGCCCTAAGAGAAGAGCAAATAAAACACTGTAAGAATTCAGAAGACGGAGAACTTTCTTTCTTCTGGGACAATCAGGAAAGTTTCCTGGAACAGGGAGAACCTGAGATGGTTCTTAAGACATGGGCATGGCTTAGACATGCAAACATGGAAAGACTGACCACATAAGCTCAAATAACAGGATGCCAGTGACCCACTGGAGTGAATGTTCTGTTTGGCTCAGGTATAGTGGAACAGAAACAAGAAATAAGGTTGGAAAGCTGTTTGAAGCCAGATGTAGAGGGGCTTAAAGACCAAGCCAAAAAGCATGCACCTTTGTGAACAGAACAGCATTTCCCAAATGCCAATGTGCACATAAATCACATGCTATGTTGTGGGATCATGTTATAGTAGGACTGGAATAGGACCTGAGATTCTGCATTTCTAACAGTACAGATGATGCTGACACTGGGAAACTACAATTTGAACATCAAAAACATAGATGGGCTGGGTGTGGTGGCTCACACCTGTAATTCCAGCACTTTGGAAGGATGAGGTGGGAGGATCACTTAAGACCAGGAGTTTGAGACCAAACTGGGCAACACAGCGAAACACTGTCTCTACAAAAATTAAAATAAAATAAAAATAGCTGGGTATGATGGTGCACACCTGCAATCCCAGCTACTCAAGAGGGAGGCTGAGGCGGGAGGATCACTAGAGCCCAAGAGTCTGAGGCTGCAGTCAGTCAAGATCACACTATTATTCTTCAGCCTGGGTGACAGAGCAAGACCTTATCTCTAAAAATAATAAAAATCATAATAAAAAGAACATAGACAATGGAGAGACACTGAAAGTTTTGCAGAAAGAAACTCTCTGATTACCAGTGTGTTCCAGGAAGATGAACTGTGATCACAATGGAGCAAGCAGATTGGAATGGGGAGAAGCTGTAGACCAAGCTTGTCCAACCCACGGCCTGTGGGCTGCATGGGGGCCAGGACAGCTTTGAATGCAGCCCAACACACATTTGTAAACTTTGTAAAAATATTGCAAGGTTTTTTTTGCAATTTTTTTTAAAGCTCATCAGCTATTGTGTTAGTGTATTTTATGGGTGGCCCAGGACAATTCTTCTTCTTCCAATGTGGCCCAGGGAGGCCAAAAGATTGGATACCCCTGCTGCGGACTGTGATCCTCAATGCTGGCTGTTCATTAGAATCACCTGGGAAGCTTTTACACCACCCTGTTACCCAGGCCCCACTCCCAGAGATTCTCATTTAATTGGTCTGGAGTGGGGCCCAGATTTCTGTATTTTTTTTAAAGTTCTCCAGGGAATTCTAATGTGCAGCCAGGGTTGAAAATCTGCTATAGAAGATATAGTAAATACTGCAATCATTCAGACAAAAAAAGATGATGATCTAAACTAGGGCAATGGCAGTGGGAACCAAGTGAAGGGGCCAGCTGTATAAAATAAAGTACATGTAGAAGAAATAGACCTTAGCAACTGCCTGGACAGGGATTTGGATATAATGGCCTCAACATCATTTATTTCTCCTAATTAAAGATAGTTTGGTGAAATGGTTAAAAACATAGACCCTGGAGCCACACTGCCTGCGTTTGAATTCCAGCTCTACTATTTACTAGGGGTATGTGAGTGTGTGAGTGTGTGTGTGTGTGTGTGGGGGTGTGTGTGTGTGTGTGTGTGTGTGTGTGTGTGAGAGAGAGAGAGAGATTAAGATAGACCCTGAGTTAAGCCCCTTAACCTTTTTATGCCCCAGTTTCTTCATCTATAAATTGAGGATAATAACAATAACCATCATATGGAGTTGCTGTTGGGATTAAGCAAGCTAACATATACATAAAGCCCTTAGTAGCATGCCTGGCAATAGAGCTATAAACGAGTTGGCTGTTGTTATTAGCATGGTTCATCATCTACTCTCATCTCTATGAAATGTTGAACTGCACACAAGCCTGATCTGAAAAACGAGAAGTCCTTGAGGGCTTTCAACCAATCTGAAGCCAGCGGCTCCTGAATCCAACTGGATCTAAGTAGTGTACCCTGCCCCGCTCCACCCTGGACCCCATTCCAAGGTCTGAGAGTAACAGCCACAGAGCCCCTACTTGAATTGCTGGTCCTTGGTGCTGCGTGTCTTGGCCAGGAAGCGTTCCGCCAGCTTCTCCAGGTTGCGGGAGTAGTCCATCTCAATCTCTGCCTTCTTTCGGAAGAAGTCCTGGAGGTCTTGCAACAGTTGCACCCGAAGCTCACACTGCTGATCCAGGCATTTCATCTGCTCTGTGAGCTGAGCACGGATCTCTACAACAACAACAAGGAAGACAGTCAGAAAGACAGCCCTGAACAAACCACCACGCATGCCAATATTCATCCACCTTCCATTTACTTATTCCCCGTGCCCTGGGAAATTCAAAGCCCTGAACGAAAAAGTCTAAAGTCTAAACTGTCCATACAATGTGAGGCACCTCCAAAAATGCCAACCCTTTTTACACCATTAAAGAACATTGTGAACCAGGAATCTGCTGAATCACTTAGGAGAAGCTGCTTATTAAACATAATAATATTCCTATCTACCATTTATATTACTATGTTTCTAGTGGCAGAGAGCCACAATCTGGGTTGTCTTCTGGCAGAGGGCCCAAATGAATTATCACCCCAACCATCCTAAGAGGCAGGTACTACCTTATCCCCGTTTTAAAAATGAGAAAACTGAGTCTTGAAGAAGTCAAACTTTTAAGTGGTGAAGCTGGGATTCAAACCCCAACAGACTGACTTTAGAGCCCATGCTCCTACTTTTTGCACTTTCCCCATCATTTCAAAATGTTGTTTAGCATCTTCATGAAGTAGGATGAAGGTCAGGATATTTTAATGGAGACTGAAAGAAAATTTCCCAAGGTCAAATCGTAGCAATCAAAACAAAACAAGCACAAGAACTTCTGGGCAAGCAAACCATTCACTGTCAATCAGATCTCACAGTTTCCAATATCACAGAATGAAAATCATTTTTTTAAGAAGACTTGGAAAGAGATTTTTTTTCACTAACAAATATCACTCATATCCGTGTTGCTTAATCTTCAGGGATGCTGAAGTGCCTCTATAGTGTCATAGCTATAAATATTTCTGGTTAAGCTCTAGCATGCAGATTTCTGGCTGGTCAGGGTCCTCGTATGGAGCTAGCAAATACTCTCTCTGGAACTGCTGCAAAGGAAGCTACAGATGCGACCAGATCTGCCTCAAATGCAGTACCGCATTTGTTACTGACAAGAGACCTGGCACTCACAGGAAGCAGTCTGCCAAAGCCAGACTGATTTTCAGCTCAGAGAAGGCCTGCAGTGTGTATCCTGCTGAAGTTATGTCCCAATCCCCATCTGAGTCAGAATGGAGCCATTTCTTTCATCCTTTTCCTCTGCAAGCCTGCTTAGCTCCAAGTGCATTAGGATGTGACAGTGACTCCAAACCCACAGAAAAGGATCACCTATATTATGCCTTTCCTTATGCATGCCCCAAATTCATTCCCAAGTAGTACAGTTGTAACAATGCTTTCTGTCTATGCTATGTAATGCATCATTATGGGGAGAGGGGGTCTAGAGTTTTCATGTGAGCTGCAGATAAATCAGAGAAAAACAGGATGAGAACTATGATGTTGAAATGTTCATGAAGCAATGAGGGTGGGTAAATGGTGCATTTAGCTTTGCCTTGAAGTAGTTGAGGCTCTATAATCTGTCCCCATCTACATTTTTGTTTCTGTTTTTACAAATATCAGTATGTCCTTTGCAGATGATCTCAGGTGATCTGTAAGCGCAATTCTCACCCTCTCCATCCTCATCTCTCTCCCTGTCAACCACCAATGCCAACCAGCCCTGCAGTAACCTCACCTGAACTGAAACTGAGCTCCGGAGGATTGTTTCAAGCAGACAGAAGGCTGTGCAGAAAAGCTGCCTACCTCATCACTCATCAAAGCTCTCTTGTTCTGTGTTTTATGGAGTCTGATTACAAGGGTATTGGGGGTAAAGATCTGCAGAGGTTATGTCAGGCATCTGGTTCTTGCCAGGGATTTCTGGGTCTCTTAAAGGGAACAGCCCTTGTTGAGACTATTCCTGAAGGCATTGTACCCCTTCCATATATTAGTGAAAAGCTGATAGTAATAGCCATTGGGTGGGCAAACTGTGCGTTGAGAGGGCATTCACAATGCTTACTATTATTACTTAAATCTCATCCATTAAGAACCAAGGCCTCTTTAGGGTAGAAAGGCTTTCCAGGTACTGAATCGTAACAGATGTACAGGGGATATGGATGGGCAGTAAGGCTGTCAGGTCCCTCTGAGTCCCCTGTAATGCACTTAAGAATTTACCTCAAGTAATCTCACTCGCCAGGGGAATAGAAAGAAACAGTTAGTTGGATGACACCCACCCTCTGCCAAAAAAAGAGAGGACGAGGCAAAGTCCCATGAAGTTCCAGAAGTAGGCCACTCCAGACTTAGCCTGTCCAAGGAACAAGTATTTCATAGGAGGCCTCTGAGATATGTGATTTAATGTAAGAAACCCCCAAGCACATCCAGTCAGCAAGGAAGTCCAGCCTGACTTTGTCAGGTGCCTCAATGAGGGCAGCACAGTATATGCTGCATCACAGGTACTCCCTCTGGAACCCTGAAGGGAAGGGAGCATGTGTTTATTGAATACATTTTATGGGCCTTTCTATATATCATCTCATTTAATTCTCACAGGTAGTCTGTAAGGTATCCACAATAATCCTGATTACACTAAGGAGAAAACTGAAGTAAGACTCTTCAGGTAATTTACCAAAGGGTCAACGATCACGCAAGTGGAGCTGGAGCTAAATTAAGGTTTGCCTGACTTGTCAAAGAGGTTAATAGTAGATCAGAGAAACAAAAACAAGAGAAATAGAACACCAGTTTGGAGTCTCTGAAAGTATTTCTGGGTAAATCACAGTGACCATGACTCTTACTCCTGGAACATTGCCTTTTCACCTTCTAGCTGAGGGTTGATTCAGGCCCCTAAGACAAGTATAGACTTGCCCACTGACTCATTAGCTAGCTATGTTTCAATCTGTCCACAACCAGACTGGATCCCTTCCCCACTTCCTAGATCTACCCTACAGGACAGCTTAGAGGGAAGTGCTTTTCTTGTCCTGTGAGTGCACCCTGAGGTCTACCAGGAAGCCCAGGGGACAGAGACTGTGAGAAAGCAGTATCCCCACCCCTGATCCAGGAAAAAAAAAAAAGAGGCTCTGTTAATAGATACCACCTGCCAGTGTGGTTTATTTGTGATATGACACCACTGAGCATCTCCCCTCCCTCAATACTGGCCAAAAAGAAGAAGAGGAAGAAGGAGGAGGAGGAAGGAAGAAGAGGAGGTGGAGGAGAAGGAAGAGGAGGAGGAGAAATAAGAAAGAGAATGAAGAAGGAAGAAGGAAGAAGGAAAAAGAAGAAAGAATAAAGGAAGAAGAAAGAAGAATGGAAGAAGAAAGAAGAAGATGGCTCCCTTGTTACCATCTTCAAAGCATCCACACAGGTATTAAGGGAAATTCTAACCACTCTCACTCTTAGGCGTACAGCTCCAAGACAGGACAATTGTTCTATCCAGGGCAAAATGTGCTGCTTTAGGCACTGCTGCTGCTGCTGCTCCTACAAAGACAAACAATGGTCCCCAAGAAGGCAGCTATGTTGGCCCCAGTCCCCGTCCATGCACACAAGGGGCAGGAAACAACGGGCCACTGAATACCAGCACTCCTGGGCCATGTGCCCAGACTGGAGGCCCCTCTGAACCCTGGCCTATTAACAAACAAAAGGGCAGAAAGAAGAAAGGGGCAATTATAAAAACACAGAGGAACTCCTCATAGCTCCCTTGTGTGCTTAGGTGATCATGCATGTGCACATCATGTGTGCACATTCAAAGACTCACACAACTCATACCACTTACACCATGCTTCACGATACCAACTCAAGAAGGCTTTACACATCTGATTTACAGTTGGATGAGAGTTCTTGGGAGCTATGGAGATGGTAGGGTCCTTGCCAGTTCCTTCCCTAGAAATACATGGGAAGAAGTGAAGCTCTCACTTTCTAGAAGCAGCTACATCTTAGGGGTACAAAATAATTCCCTGGCTATTCACAAGGCCAAAGTACTAAGGTCGCCATGAGCCACCTGGAGTGATATACACCCCCAAACAGCCTCCCCTGAGCACCCAACAGAGCCCATTTATTCAGCAAATCTTACTGAGCCTCTCCTGTATGGAGGCACTGTGCGAGGTGATGGTGACAAAGGAGAAAAAGACAGGTCTAAGCCCTGTCTAAAGAGGCTTGACAAATAAGAGAAAGGACAAGAGAACACAAAAAGTCTTATTGTTTCTGCTTTAAATATTCTTTATTGTAACAAAGCTGAGGTAATAAGCCCCAACCTGAAGATCTAAGATTTAAAAATCATCAATAGCAGAAAGAAATCACATAACAGGGCTAAGAAAAATCCAATGTCCTCTAACATTTTTTCTTATTATGATTTCTAAAAATGACACTTGAATAAAAATTGCAGCTTCCCTTGCAAGAGGAACCAAATTTTTTAAAAAGGTTCCTGAGAATCAGAGTTGACCTCTGGTTGATATTTCATGCAAAGACTCAAGACAAATTTAAACCTCACTGTTCTGAATTAAGATAGTGATGACTGTTGCTCAACCTTGTGAATATGTTTAAAAAATTGAATTGTACGCTTTAAAAGAGTGAATTTTACAGTATGTGAATTATATCTCACTGAAAAAAAACAGATAAAAAAATTGAACCCCACCACACAGCATATTCTGTTGAGCACCATCTGCCAGTGAAGGGGAAAATAACCCAACAAACAGGAACCAAAAGGAGGAATGGATTCTTGGTTTCCATTTCCCGGTGTGTATGAATTAAATGAATTCTGCATTGACTATTCCTAAAGCAAATCTTGGAAGCTGCCCCTCTGGGCAGTAAGCTTGGCCATGACATTGAACTCCACTGGCAGATCACCAATTCCAAAGGATGTCAGATAAAGACCTGCCAGGGAGTGTTTTTATATGTGAATTCAAATCCAGGATCACCAGACACACCCACAAAGCTTCCCCTGGGACATGCTGCCTCCTTGTCCATGTTTGGCCACAGCTAAGATACTAATTACACTCGTCCTAGTATTTAGAAAGAGGCATATTTCCTTTTTAGAAAGATACTGAAGGATCTCGATAAGCATGCAACTGGAAGAAAAACTAGCCCTAATAGCATACTGATCATTTAACAAAAACAGGCAGGGCCCCGCCACGCTGAC